TGATTATTTTCTATTGATATTAAATTATTGAATTTATTTTTAGATAAAACTACCTGTTGGAAACGTAAGTATCTTTTCATATCATTGATATTTTAACTAATCGTTTTTTTTTCTGTTAGCAATGATCAATTCAAAATTTCCTACTTACGAACGAGTTAGACTTAAAACAAGTAAAAATATTTTATTTATTTACTGTTCATAAATAATGATTTTAATTGAATATATTAGTCACAATTATTCGACCTGTAGTACTTTTGGGTTCGTTGGCTGATATTGCACGAGATCGATTATTAAGTCAATATTCTGATCAATATGAATTACCTCGTATGTTTTCTTTTCTTTTAAATTCAATCTGTTTCAATAATAAATTTTTAGAAACTCATCTTCAATCATCTAGTAAAGGATGTATCAATATTATTAAATTACAAAGTATCAAAGATGTTATTCAAAAAGTAAGTTAGAAGGGACATATTATATATACTGATTTTTTATTAAATAAATTTTAGAATCGTCATTGTCTATTAGACATAAGTCCATCAGCTATTGAACAATTAAATTATGCTGAATGTTATCCAATAGTTATTTTTATTCGTGCTTGTGATCGTCGTATAGTTAAACAAATTCGTACTGAATATGGTAAACTTTATCAAAAATCATCTCGACGTTTATTTGAAACATCGGAATATCTTGAACATTTTTATTCCTATTTATTTACATCAATTATAAAACTTGATTCATCTGTAGATTGGTATGAAACATTAATAAAACAAATAAATTTACAACAAGAACAACCTATATGGATGAATTATGATCAATTAAATGAAAAAGATTTTTTAAAATCTGATGAATATTTTATTGCAACAAAATTAAATAATACGGATGAATTTTCAATTTATAATAAATCAATATTTGATTTTGATATAATAAATAAAAAAGAAAATAATCATTTACAAAGAGTTGCATCTGATCCTGCTATGTTTCAAAAAGATCAAATTAATAAAACATATTTAACTAATATTGATCATGATGGTGATGATGATGAAGAATATGATAATCATTCATTTATGTCATTACCAAATCGATGTCATTCAGTTATTGAAATGCCTACAACAGATAATCAACAATCACAATTATCATATCGTAATAATCAATTTCTTTATCAAAGATCATTACAACCGATGAAAATAAATCATAATAATAAAGATTATTTATTTCGTAATGATAAATATATTAATGTATGACAAAGAAAACCCTGTTTTTATTTGAATTTCTTCTGTTTTCTTTTCTAGAATCATCAAAATGAATCAAAGATTTTTTCTACAAATTCTCTTCAAATAAAGTAAAAAATTTCTTCTTTCATCTAAACAAAATCCTTTTGTTCAATTAGTTCTAATAAATGACAAGTATATCTTACATACTTGTCAAATAATCTTAACATTGATCGATTTATAATTATCATTTTGACAAAAAGATTATTGATGAACTTGATAAATACTGAATAATCTTTCACGATTTATTTTTATTTTAATGATATATATATATATATCTACAATAAGATTGACATTTCATTTAACAATATAGTATAGAAGAAGAAAATGTAATCTGTTTAATCATCAATCATTATTTTCATATTTCGATTAAATAAGACTAGAAAAAAAATTATCTGGAAACATTTCTATGATCTTTTTTTTGTAAGACTGTTATCTAAAGCTTTTAGAGAAATATGATGTTTCTTATCGACCACATACGCGTTTATCAATTGTTAGGAGCGTGCTATAACCGCAAGAGAAAGTCCTACAAAATTATGGCAAGATTATTTTTTATTATTGCTAAAGGTATCTTGATGGAACATCGAGCTTTTTAACGTTTGCAACTCAAGGAATTTTTTGAAACTGTCTAACTACAACTCTCAGGAAAATAGCTAGAGAAATGTTTCGATGGATCCTCGTAGATGAAAATCGCAACTCCCAATTTTATTTTGAATCGGATAGTCGTTCATAATTAACATTTTAATATCAACAAGATTAAACTTTTGACTTCTATTTTCTCTAGTGAATCATCTCCTAATCCAAATCTAATACGACGACCATTAATAGCACCAAAACTTCGTACAATAAATTCTATTGAACAACTAAGTTCAAGTGATAGTAATGGTTCAATTCGAAAAAAACTTCTTGATAAATCAACAATGACATATACTGAAAAAAATCCATCTATTAATCATTATGCTACATGGAATAAGTAACTAGAAATAGAAATTAAATTTTCAAATAATTTATATTTATTTTAGACCTCCCGTATCTCGTCCAACAATTTTACCAAAAAATATTGAATCTCTTCGTCGTATATCAATAGAAAATAATTATCATAATAAATCAAATCCATTAGTAAATTCTAATGAAAGATTTTGTACGGAATCATTATTAAAACAAAAAATGTGTTCAAGTAAAAAACATAATCATACATCAATTAATCCTTCGTATCCAACAGATTATACAAAATCACAAATCTATCCAACATTATCATTACAAAAACCACGTGTTTTTACTTATGATGATCAAAATTATTCTAAACAACAATCAAATATACATTCAGCTTCATCAGGTTCATCATCATCAACATTAAGTTTAAAAGATAAAAATCCTAAAGAAGTTGGTGAGACAAGGTAATAACAAAATCATTTAATATATTTTTTGTATTCCTTTTTCTATTCAAGTTCCTATTCAATTCAAGATGGTTGTAATGTTATTGGTAGTGCACGAGGTATTATGGATTATTATGGTGGTAAATTATCATGTCCATTAACGGGTGTATCATTATTTGTACCAATAGGTGCAATACGTGAAGGTATTCAACAAGAAATTTATTTTCAAGTTTGCCAAGATAGTTCACATATTGAAAAAATAAATGGTCAATTATTAAGTCCAATTGTAATATGTGGTCCACAGGGAGTTCAATTTGAAAAGCCAATTGAATTAATATTACCACATTCAGCTGGAAATACTGATCAACAATTATCTCTTACACTTCATGGTACTCATCAAAGTAAATATATATCAGTACATATTTTTTTATTATTGTTCTTGTTTTTATTTAGATATTAAAACAAATTCGCAACAACAAAATAAATCATTGATAACAAATGGAATTCGTCATGTAACGAATTCGAATGTTTCAATTCTTGTAGATCATTTTTAGTTTGTTTGATTTTTTTTAATTCTTATTTTTGACCAACAAATGTTTCCATTGCATTTGCTACACCAAAAAATTCAATAAATCGATCAGAACATTCATCAGTCAATAATCTAAATAAATATTTCAAATAATAATTATTTTCTACCCTTTGAGCATATAAAATAAAACATTATGTGACGTGTGTGTGTATCAGTATGGGTAAAAGAAAAGACACCCACACCTAGGTGATCGCGCTATCTTTGCCGCTCTTCCCTCTCTATGCGTTTGATTTGTGCTATCTTTGTATTCATGATCTATCTTGTCTCCTACGTGTCTCTTGCCTATATGTAGCCATCCGCTTACGAGTTATGTGTATGCATTTTAACATACGGAATATACGTTATGAGAAGAGTATAGGAATGAATCTTCACAAATACTCACACCCACACTCTCTTTCTTTGATCATTAATAAATGAAAAGAATGCAAAAGATAATCTTTAGAAACGCTTTATTTCAATGTGAACAATAAGAAAAGCGGACTTTCAATTTTTTACATTAAAGGTTCAGACTAATAAATTAAATTGAATACAATTGAGAGTATCATTGTCTCATCATCCTCATAAATCGCTGTCGCCAAGTGATAATCGATTGTTTAAATTGTTTTTTGTAGAAATTTGATGGTAGAACGAATATTACAAAGAGGAAAGATGATGGAATGAATGAAATAAAATAACCAAAAAGATATAACCAAGGATTTCGTGATGCTTTAACACATGTTGATAATAATGAAATAAGAAAACGAGGAAATAGTAAAACAGCTAATACAATAGAACTAATAATAAGTTGTTTGTGTTCATTGATTTGATTAACTAGTTGTTGTCTATAATTAAATTTTGTTCGAGTGGTCGTTCGTTGTCGCGCAATGTTTATGATAATATAAAGAGCTGAGAATAAATTTATTGCACAAGGAACTATAAAATGGAAATACTGAATAATTGTAGTATATTTTTCAACTGATTGAGAGTAACGAAGTACACACCAAACACGTTGTTCTTCATGATCATCAAATAAATCACGATAGATGAGTTCATAACTCATTGAACCCAAAATTATAAATGGTAAAAGGCAACATACCCATCCTGCAATACATTTACTTCTTTGTTTGTTAAAATTAATTCCTTGAAGGACTGATATTACTCTTTCTATAGCCACACAAGTGTTAAGCCAATTACTCATATTTAAGAAAAGACGAAGTAAAGGTTCAAATACTAAACATCCAGCTCGAAGAATATTACGATTGATCAATGGATTCATATACGTATATGTTACAAACCAGAACTTAATAATTAACATAGTAACAATTAGAATAGAAATAATTGATGATAATCGAAGATAAATTCCAGATCCTACTTTACGAGAATCACGATTATGGAAAACTAAATAACTAAGAAAACCATTGATTAAGCTAATGAGAAAAATAATCATGACAAATATTGCACTTAATTTAACTACCAATGATTGATCATTTAATGTACTATTAGGTCGAATTTCATAACGTAATAAATCATCTAATGTTAATCCAATACCTTTAGCATAAAACTGACATCGATCACCAAAAAAGCAATCGCTGCATACACATAGAATACTATAAAAACATATAGGTCGACCTTGTAAACATGTTCCACCATTTTCACAATAAACATTATCATCACAGACAAAATTCGATTGATGATCTAATGGAAAGCAATTACTATGATGTTCTTCTGTGCATAGACACATGTAAAATTCATCCATAAAACATTGTAGATTAAAATCACGTTGACATGGAATGTGATAGCTTTTCAATCGTTGAATGCGTGGCAATGAAACTAATTCAGTACTCAAAACTTCATCAACGGAAGCACATCGTTGTGCAGAATTAATTGATGTTGTTATGTTAGATTGTACGTCTTTCTGAAGTACAGCCACATAATAACGATTACCAATTTTGATAAGAATCATTTTGAACATATACTGAGAGTATAAAATAACATGATTCTGGAACATAGTCATTTTTTTGAGTATAATAGATGTTGGTATTGATCGTTCAAAACTAATCTGATTGTAGATATAGACGAGTAAGTGTGTTGGAATTTCAATATCCTTAAGAGAAATACCTATTCTTTGATTGACGTATTGACATCTTGGTCCAGAATATTGTTCTGAGCAAAAGCATACATAACTTTCATCAATCATTCTCGCATCGATTACGACACATTGACCATTATTTTTGCAGAATCCTAGTGGACACATGAGTTTGAGACGACAATATGAACCAAACGTATTTTGAAGGCATACACATATTGATCGATTTTGAATCGAACCAATACAGATCGAATTTGATGCGCACATACTGCAATCGATTGGAATATGACATTGTGCACCAGACCAACCTGAATAACATTGACAGAAGAATCGTTCGTCATTATGATATTTCATGCAAATACCATTATAACATTGCAGATTGCAAGGATTAAAATTCGATGGTCGAGATATTGGAATAGTCAAAAAAGCACTCAATCGATTAACTGGTAAGAAAATAAATGGAATCGCTAAATGCCAACTTACTAAATACGTCGATGAGCTCTTGTCAAATGCGTCAATACGAATGCTATAGTTTTTTGAAATATTCTTTCCTCGTGTTGTATATAACAGATAGATATCTACAGGTCGACCACAAAATGTTTTTGATACATAAGTAAATTGATGGTATGAATGAATTTCTTGTCTATCATTGTCATCTTCCATTAAGGTAACAATAATAGTATAGACAATCGGCTGATCGACCGTTGCCAATACGAGAGTTAAACTAACACGTTGATTTTGATACTGGCATTGATCACCATAATAGTTTGGTGGACAAAAACATAGACTACTGTAATTGCCGTCTCCAAGTCGATGATACATATGTAAACCATAATTGCAAACATCTTGCTGTATGATCTTTTTAGTCGGCAGTTCTATCTTTTTATCAGTGATCTGGTTTTTAATAGAATAAGTTGAAATAGTGTGTGAGGTTGGATAAACTAATGCAGTATGTAATGGAAAAGACTTATAATCTGTATTAATGATTCGACATGACATGTTCCGCATATCAATAAAATTATTAAAACTGTAGCCATTACATAATTGTAGACTGTCAACGCAAAATTGATAATTATCATACGGTAGACATTCTTGGTTTTCATTGCAAAGATCTTCATTGTCTGTACATTTCGTGTCATTCGAGCAATAAAATTTGGTCGTTTGAAAGTATTGAGATTCATCGGATGATGCTCCAAAACAATCGGCAATTCCATTAATGACTTGACCGGCTGGTAAACACATCTGTGTATAATTCTGTGGTGAAGAACAGAAAAAGAAGTGCCTTAATGTAATTGTTTTCATACAATGCTTTTCATCTTCTCCATCAAGACAATTTCGAAAACCATCGCATCGTGTATAAATATTATTGCATTGCCAATCTTCACAATCAGTCTCATCTGAATGATTTTGTCCATTAATCAACATCAAGGGCAAATCCGCAATACGATCACATAGTTGATAAAATAAAATTTTCTCATAACTTATTTCTATTGAACGAGAACAGATATTCGGTGAAATTAAAGGTGAATGACATTGTTTTTCATTTGGACATTGAAATCGAAGCGTTTGATTTAATGAACAACTTAATTCAAATACTTGTTCATCATCTTTTAGAAAACAATCGGGTATACCATCCACTATTCGATATTTAGAAATATATTTTGAGGAATTTTTACATTGATATAATGACAAATAATGGGAACTGATTTTTTGATATCGTTGAGTGACACAACCAATAAAGTATGGTTTGACCGAATCGATGATAGATTTCCATGTAGTTAGTTCGACATTCATGTCAAGGCCTGTTTGATTCCCGTACCGACAAGTGAAATTATTATGATGAAATGTAGCTGTAAGAAAATCACATAATTGCTCATCGTAACAAATATAATCAGGCTTAAGTGCTAATGTTATATTAATATTGTCAATTTCTTTTGGATCATATAAAAATCGTACATGACCAAAGAGTACAGGAATAACAGGAAATTCAAGAGGAAACGTACAATTTTTAAATTCTTCAATGATTTCAGAAGATTGTATGAACTGATCACATGTTATATTTCCGATTTTATTCATGATTTTGCTAAGACAAATCATAACTATCCAACATGAATAGGATAAATTTCCTTGAATACTAATGGATTGACTCAATGCTAGATGTCGATTATTTTTACATTCGCCAAAATCTTCTACACATTCTCCATCACCACACGTAAATTGTCCTTCGTCAGGTCGACATACATATTCTTGATATTTGAATAGATGTGGTGGATAATTAGCTGTCAGAAGATGATTGTTCTTAATAATTTCATCCGATTCATCAAAACATTGCGCTTCCATAGATTTCATTTCCAAAAAGAGTTTTGGAATACATAACCCATTATAACATCGATACTCATTCTCATCACATTCATTAATTTCTAATTTAAAACATCCAATTTCATCAATACCACCATTTAAACAATCGATTCGACCATTGCATATCTCACGCCAATCAAGACAAATCGACGAACCACCACGATCACATTCTAATAGAATGTAACACGTTTGTCGAAACATTATATCTGTCGAAGTCATTTCAAATGAATTCCAAACTAATTCATCTTCATTTATTTCTGATGAATATTGGCATCGAGATCCAAACCATGGACGTGTACAATTAAAAAAAGTTTCATTTGATAGATTAGATTGAAATGGTCGATCAAGATAATATTGATATTGTTCAGCAACATCAATCGATGACGACCATAGAAGAATATCATATGAAGTAACATTCAGATGATATAATTCATTGAAAGTAAAATATTCATCAGATATATTAAAAAAATGAATTATCGTCGTCAAATCCTTATCGTTATTTGGACGAATACAATATTTGACCATTCCAGAAAAGGATGACGTAGATGAAAAGTTATATAAACAATCAAATCCAAACGGATCTGTATAATAGAGAAGCGATTGAAAACCATTAAATACCGATGGAAAAAATATAATATAAAAGAATCTCAACATTGCTCAAACGTAGCTTTGAACACAAATGACTTTATAGTGTATAGATAGAATTAACACAACTTTTATGGTAAATATATATCATCATTTGATTATATTAATAGTGTTCACTATTACACGTGTCATTCTCTGGGACGTGATATATCAAAATACAACAATGCAATCTGATACTCCTTTTTATATATGTATCTAGATGTGACATATTCATTTGATAGAAAAATATAGGCATTGTCAGGTATATTCTTTTATTTGATAGAAAGTGAATATCATGTATAAAGCACCTTGATTAGCAAAAAAAAGTTGAAAAGTAAATATCAAGAATGCCATGATTATAGATGCCATCATTTACAACGTGGAACATTGTCATTGGTCGAACAGTTATCATCGGTGACATAGCCATGCTTTCCATTGGATAATCCGATCGTATGCCATTCTTTCGTTTTACTCAAAACTTTCTCGATTTTAAAGCAATCACATGGGTAGTGCTCGCTGGTAACAGCCTATATAATGTCAGGACAGTCCTTTGATGCACACGAATGAATAGGTTGTCTTTGAAGACATAGAACATAGCTAGCCTAATTATATGAAACAAAATAATATTTCAAATACTAGATTATTCGATTAAAACAAAAACTTACCTTGCATACTGCCAGAGTGATATCTAAGATGGTGAAAAGACGAATAGTAGACAAATACATTTTTGTTTTGAATGAAATCATTTCGGCAATTACGACAGCCCTTTAAATACATGAGTGAATACAAAAGTCGTATAATTTATTACGACGCTTGTAATAAGTGCAAATGATGAGTAACTGATTATGATATGGATGTCATTTTATTAGAAAAGAATGAAGTGTTTGATTTGCATATTGCATTTATTGTTTTTCGATTGAAATAAAATTTCACTTTCCGAGTCTCTTTTTTTTTCTTTTCTCTTTTCTTTTTATTTTGCTTTTTCTAATACAATATTTGACTATATCAGAAAAATCTGACCTAGATCAAAAATAATGTTAACAATCAAATCCAAATAGATCCGTATCATAGAAAAGCAATTGTAAACCATTAAATATCCATATAAAAAAAACATCATATAAAAGAATCTTAACATTACTCAAATATAGCCTTGCATACAAATGACAATACAATGTATAGATGGATTTAACACAATTTTTATGGCAAATATTTATTATTATTTGGCTATATTAAGCGTTCAGTATTACACATGTCATTTTATGAAACTTTTTTCTTAATGAGACGTGATCTAATACTCGTTTTATTTTTCTATCTAAATATGGCACATTCATTTGATAGAAAAATGTAGACATTGTCAGGTATATTCTTTTATTTGATAGAAAATGAATATCATGTATGAAGCATTTTGATTAGCAAAAGAAAAGTTCAAAAGCAAATATCAAGAATGCCATGATTGTAGATACTACCATTCACAATGTGGAACAGCACCTGAACAGTGGTGGTCGGTTACATAGCCATGTTTTCCATTGCGTAATTCGATCTTAAACCATGTTTGCTTTATACCCGAAACTTTCTTGATTTCAAAGCAATCACATGGATAGTGCTCGTTGGTGACAGCATCGCCAACTACAGAGCAGCTCATTTTTGCACACGAGTAAATAGGAACTCTTCGAGAACATCGAACATAGGTAGCCTAATCATATAAAACGAAAAATATTCCAAATATTAAAATATTCGATAAAAAACAAAAATTTACCTCGCATACGGTCAGAGCGATACTAAGGACAATGAAAAGACGAATAATAGCCGAATACATTTTTGTTTTCAATTAAATCATTTCAGCAATCAAGGCAGCCTTTATATACATGAATGAATACAAAAATCGGATGATTTATCACGGAAGTATCAGTATGTTGGAAAGTATATTATTGCGAAGCTTGTGACAAATGCAAATGATGAGTAACTAGTATTGGCATTAACGTCATTTTAGTAGGAAAGAGCCAAGTATTTGATTTGCATATTGCGTCTTTTGTTTTTCGATTGAGATAAAATTTCAATTTCTGAATCAGTGACTTATTGTCACTAAGAATATCATGTTTCTGTTGCCTAAAGGACTAGGAAGTGAAATCCTTACTTGTTATTCAAAATCAACATCCTATACATGTACTAGAATTTATCATCTGTAAATGAACAAAATTCTATTGAGTCAATCTATCTATATGTACAGCTAATGAAACTACCATTATCATTCTTTTTTCAACTTAATCTATCTACGTAAAACAAAACTATTTAGAGTTTTTAATGTTCCTAGGCAGAATGTTGAAACATTTATCTATTATCCGTTATGAAATTAAGAGTTTCACTAGATTATCTTTGCCTTCAGACTATTTCCTAAATTCAACTGATTCGATCATTCACTGTTCTTTAATTAAGATGCAAGGAAACTGATGATTTTTCTTGTGTATCGTTTCAACGACATCGTTTTATCATATGACCCTATTTACTAAGAATGATGATATGCACTTGTATGAATCATTACATCAAAGATTGTTTTATGGTGGAATGATTATAGTTTCCAATTTAAACTTTTAACCTTTAATATTCTGCACTGTTGATTCTTGGATAATAACGAAGCACATGAATATTAATTATATATTTGACTTTCATTATACATGCATTAATCTTTGAAGATTAAGTAGACTTAGCTTTTTTATATTAGTATTGTTGGTAAAAACTGAATCAATAGTTTTTTCCCGAAAAAACTATTACTTCCTTGTCATACGATGATTTCGAGTAATAGGTGCAAGCTGATTCAAAAACAAACTACGATGAGTGTGTGAGCGAAGCGAATAAAGATATTTGATCTGTCACACACAACTACTGAATATACGTTGTAAACTGTATAGGTGAATGTCTTTATAAGTGAAACTTTTATAAATATTTTTGAAGCGAACAAAATAGTTTTTGCTTTGAATTATTAGACGCAGCCAGAATTCTGAAAAGTGATTGAATGGATGAAAGATTAATACAGCAAACATGTCATCTTCACGATGATATAACCAGTTTTTATGTTTATTTTTCAAGTGCGAAACACATTTATTGAAAGAAACAAAGATTTTAATGAAACTTTGAATTTTATAAGTGTCAATCATACACGTTTAGTATAGAAATAACAAAATATCAATTTTAGTACACGCTGTAAGTACAAAATACTTTAAAATTTGTTAGCTTGACAATATGTGCAATCGGCTAAACCGGATACGGTCAACTTCCGTAACTTACAGTACACGATCTTTTACTATAAGGTAAATTATTTTACAAAAAGAATATTAATGAAACACAAAAAAAATGATTTACTGTTGCGACAGTTCAGAAAAGATAACTGAACTGCAAGTAAATGGATGAAGGTGACAGTGTGATATTCTGCATTACCTGCACCCTCAAGACATACTTTTTGTGATACTGTATGCAGCACTATTGTTGAAAACACATACAGACGGTACATTTCGACTCAGTGCGTACCATATTTTATCTGTAGTTATGTTGCAAATTTCCAACTAATAAAATAAACGACCTTTTCTTCTGTAAAATATGAATAAGAAGAAAAAAACATGATCGTCACCTAAGTAATTCAAGAAAGGTTAAAATATATAGTTAAAAGGAAGGAGAAAGTGATTGTTGAATAAATGTTTCTCTCTTTCATTCTACTATCCGTTTCAACAGTAACCGAGCAAATAAAGAGGAAGAACCTGTGAGAAAAACATTGTTATTAAGCTGTGCTTCGAAAAACAAAATATGTAAGTTAATTGCGCAATTGATCGCAAAAACACGTTGATATTAACTTTCAATAAACAAGGGTGTAGGTGTGGATCAGTGTTGCCAGATCTTCCGGTTTTTCCAGAAAAATTCCGGATTTTAAATGATTTTTATTGAATTAAATTTTATTTATTTGTTAATACTCAAAAAACAATTTTTTTGTTTGACAGCGGCTTAGTGCCTTATACTTCTCATATATTTAGTTTATTATATTTTGAATTTTCATGTTGATTTTCTTCTGGTATACTGAAACATGTGTTTTTTGAAATAATAAATGATACAATTGAGAGTAAGATTTATAGAAATTTATTTTAGTTTCTAAAAATTAACTGTTAAAAACTATTGCGGGCTAACAAAAACAGCTTCCGAAATATTCTGGATTTTGACATTAAAATTCCAGTTTTCTGACTATGATATCTGGCATTACTGCACATTACATTAAAATTATTTGGACTTTTTATTTTATTGTGAGAAAATAACCATCAGTTTTAATATTTCAGTAAACAGAATTTGTTGTAAGATTATTATACAATGTGATGCAATTCAATAGGAGGTGCCGGTTGTAAGTGTGAGTATG